AATTTTCTGTTTCAGTTACTCTCTGTTTCCTCTTACGACACCCACGGAACAATGTCGAGTAGTGAATATTCTTACACCGTCACTGCAGGGTGTGACTAAACTATCGTAATATTATGATACTATGAGACCATAATATAATATTACACAATTTTATTAAAAGACATTATAAAGTTTGGTTTTAAGAGTTCATCTCAGAATTCCAGCCCTAAAGTATGTGTAACTTACGCCTGACACCAGAACACAGCGATCTATATGAAAAGATGATGACAAAACAGACGTGTTCCCAGGCTAAAACGGAACCCTACCTAGTAGTGACTATATTTGGTTCTCCATATTGTTCGATGTTTTCTGACTCAGTCGGTATGCGACTGTTTTGAAATACTCTCACGTGGTCCCTCGCCAATCCGTTGTAGCGGTTTCTAGACGATGCTTTGCGAACTTCGTTCTTATTACGTTGGTAAAAGAACGGGTAATTGTATAGTATAAAAAGTGCAGTTTTAAAGGCACCTATTATTTTAAAGAAAGCGTTGCATTTGCTTTCTTCGTTGTTCTTTATCGTAACGTGCAGGGAATCGATTTTAATATATTTCATCGATTTCAAAAAAAAATTGAAGGCTTACAGAACAGTGATAGCTCAGGGGCTTAGCCCTCGCTGTAAATTTCAAAGTACGCGAGCACCGAGCACGTGGTACGTGGTAGAGCCACGATGCAGCTATATTATGGTTGTAGCACGAATGGGTCGGCTCGACCGGGAGAAGGACCACGTTCTCACAGAATACCAGCGTAAAATAGCAGCTCAATGTTACAGTGTTTCGTATGGTGAGTGTAGAGAACCGGAGACCCTTTTTACTGGAAACGAGACATTCCATCTCCGTACTCAGGGCTGGCAACGCATCTGCATTTTGATTTTTAATTGAAGATAAATGTAGATATCTATGGGCTACAGCATCCACTTAACATCAAGTGGACTGTGTGCTCGTTTGTCAACCTTATACCATAAAAAAAACACGAGCAACCTGGGTCGGATATCCGCCGGCACCAATAAAATTGTTAATTTCAATTTTAAGTGCTGATTTACCATGTGCTCGCCGTTGAAGGAAGACATCATGCATAAAACTGCAAGTCTGAGATATAAAAAATAATACATAAAATAGAATATTTTTTTATTAATTATAAATTACATGTAACTCTTATTGAAAGTACCAGCAAAAAACCGACATTTTTAAATAAATTTTACAATCTTAATGGTCACAAAATATTGATAGATGAATATTAAAGACTTGTGAAGTCCGCCAATACGCACTGGAGCAACGCGGCTCATACTTCCTTTCCCTAAAACCCTCCCAGAATTGAAAGGATGCCTATGACCAGCAGTGGGATGTATATAGGCTGTATCTTTACTTTACTTACTTTCAATTTGAGTAAAGAAAGAACTATATGTAATCTATGAATGTATAAATTACGAAATCACTTCATACAAGCCTTCGCAGTTTGTTTAGGCTCGTTAGTCCATTTATGTAAAAGAATGCAGTCCGGTCCGGACACTTCCTTATGCAGAGAAACGGACCAGAGTACGTTCGGACTTGGGATACGCAGATCGTAAAACGGCTAAAAATAGATTTACAACCTGCTAAATTTAGTCGAAAGCCTCCGATAAACCTTTAAGATAAAGTTTAAATAAATATAATTCGCCTAATAAATTCTTCTAATTAAACGCTCTTTCATAAATTGTGATATGACTTTACTCTTTTATTGAAGCATTAATTAAATTTAAAGCGATTTTAATTTATTTCATAGTTTTATCGTTTTCCGCTACTTTGTGCTTTGTTTATCCTTCTTATGATATTATACATTATAAAGCAACATTGGCGAACCAGTATTCTTTTATATAAATTAATTTAAATTTATGAATTAATAAGAGGTGATTAGAGAAAACGAAACGTTATTGAGATATAGAAACTAAGCGTTAGTCAACTCTTAAATATGAGAATGTGAAAAAGAGAATCATACTACTCTGTCAAGAAACCACCGGGAAAATATCAATAATACACAAAAATGTTAGTTATTCATCCAAATTTATTTTATCACCTTCAAAGTATGCTCCTTCACAAACGATACAGTTTCTCCAACGAATAAGCCAATCATCAAAACATTTTTAAATGCTTTTTGCCGGAATTGAGTTCAGTTCTCACTGCGAATTCCCCTTTATGTCTTCTACCGAATGAAAATGGGTGCCACGAAGTGGTAATTTGAGTTTAGGAAAAAGAAAGAAGTCGGCTGGAGCCATATCTGGTGGATAAAGTGGTTGCTCGGTGGTATTTTTTTGAGTTTTTGGTCAAAAATTCGTTCACTATGATGGCCTTGTGCGAAGGCGCCTTATCGTGGTGCAAAATTCACGAGTTTTCTGTCCTTTTTCATCTAATTTTCTCTCTTAAATGCCCCATAACGCTCAAATAATATACTTTAATTACCGTTTGACCTCCCGGTAAGAATTCCGAGTGCACAACACCGAAAACAAAGACAACAGTCAAATGACTTTGACTTTTGATCGACTTTGGCGTGGTTTTTTCGGTTTCTTTTCATTTGGAAGGTGCCACTCTGAAGTTTGTTGACTAGTTTGTATGTCAAACTCGTAAACCCACGTCTCGTCACCGGTAACAATGGGTTTAATAAATTTTTTTAGTTGGGTCGAAATGGACTCGTTCTATCTTGTCCTCAGCGACTCTTGTGCGATGGAGTTTTTGGAAAAAAATTAGGTCTTTTGGATACAGCCGATCGGCAACATGTTTCAACGTAAGTGGTTATTAAAAATGGTACGGATCGACTCGTGAGACACAGAAAGTTCGGCGGCTATCTCTCCCAAACTTGAATGAGGATTTTCAGTCACAATTTCCTTCACTTTTGCGGTGTTAACTTTAGTTGCAGACTATTATCGCCTACCAGAGCGAAGCAAATCTTCCATCACATCTCGACCGCTTTTGAACGCTTTGTACCACTCATAAGCACGTGTTTTTGATAAAGTCGATTCACCTTAAGCCTTTGGCTTGGCTTGATCGATGCCATTGGCTCTGTATACCCTTCAGACCAAAACACTACTAAAGTGCAAGCACCACTTTTATATATATAAGGGGTTTTCCAATAGGGACTTGACAATTTTGAATTTAGTTTGTGAACACACCTTTTCACTTAACATCAAACTGTTACTGTCAGTTTATTCAGTAGACATAACCTTTTCATCATGGTGAAGTACACGAAGGAACAACGTCTGCAAATTTTAAAAATTTACTACAGAAATTCGGAGTCGGTGGCCGCTACTTTAAGAGCGTTAACTCCGATTTTCGGTCGTAATTCTCGCCCTAGTAGACAGGCAGTAACAAGTTTAGTGAAAAACTTTGAGTCTACATATTCGTTGTGTGATGTTGCCGTGCCAGTGAGACTACGGGTTGGTCGAAGTGTCGAAAATATCGCTGCCGTTGAAACGTCCGTAGCAAATGATCGAAAACAGTCAATTCCACGGCGTTCTCAAGAGTTGGGCATCGCCAAGACCACTTTATGGCGAATTTTGCGTAATAATCTTACTTTACACCCAAAAAAGATCAGGCTCAATCAAGAATTGAAGCCGATGGACCATTCAAAGCGACGTACGTTCTCCGATTGGGTTCTGGAAAAGATGCGCCAAGATGATCAATTTCATCGCAAAATCATCTTCAGTGACGAAGCTCATTTGTGGTTCAATGGGTTTGTCAATAAACAAAATATGCGGTATTGGAGTGATAATCTACATGTGCTCAATGAAAAACCACTTCATCTACAAAAGATAACTGTTTGGTGCGATTTGCATGCCGGCGGCGTCATAGGGCCATATTTTTTCGTCGACGATAGTGGTCGCCACGTTACTGTGAATGGTGATCGTTTTCGCACCATTATTATCGATTATTTTAGGCCTGAATTGGAATGTATGGACTTGGACAGCATGTGGTTTCAACAGGGCAGCGCCACAAGCCACTAAGCACACGTTACAATCGATTTATTGAAGAACAAATTTGATGAGCGTGTTATCTCATGAAATGGACCAGTCGATTGGCCGCCTCGTTCGTGCGATTTAACGCCTCTAGATATTTCCTTTGGAGCTACATCAAGTCATTGGTCTATGCTAATAAGCTGACCACGTTGGAAGAGATCAAAGCCAACATTGAACGCGAAATAGCAGCCGTTTCGGCCGAAATGTGTGGCCGAGTCATGGAAAATTGAGTCCAACGAATCGACCGCTGCAAACGAGCCCGCGGTGGCCATATTGAGCGAAGTCGAGTTCCATTCATAAATGTTTTGAATTTACTTCAACCCGATAATAAAGTTTTTGAAATATCTCTAATGGTTTTAATTTTATTTTGAAAAAAACTTGTCAAGTCCTTAGTAGAAAACCCATAAAAAAAAAAAAAACACATATATATATATAGCTATACTAAACGAGTCCAACCAAACACTCTCAATACTCGAAAAAGGAAACCTCTAAACAAACCGACGTTTTAACGCAATATATGGCAGGTCTGTTTATTGCCCAACAGGAAACGTTTTGCACATAATTCCGCCATTATCTATACTGTAATAGTAGGGGGCCGTGGTAGCTCAGGGGCTAAGTGGTCGTTGTTAATATCACAGTACGCGAGCAATACGGGTTCGATACCCGCCGGCGCGAATGTAATTGCTTATTACAATTTTAAATGCTGATTTACCACAAGCCTGCATGTTTAAAAAAAATAGAGGGGATGTCTATGGGCCACAGCATCCACTTACCATCAGGTGGACTGTGTGCTCATTTGCCACCCTATTTTTATAAAAAATCGTAACCTTATAATTTCAACATCATTAATTTCAGATTCCTGATGTTAAAAATATACTAGCTATAATAATATTTTTATATATACTATAATATTTTTTAACTTTTGAGTTTAAGAATTCAAGGCAGTTAATTTCAAAGATCTATTTTTAATCTGTTCCAGAGCGTCTCGAACACGATGACGGCTGTCACATGGACAAGAATGAACGTGTGGATATCTACGTCAGCCTGGCCACTGGCCTCCGGAAGACAGACTTCTCCGACACTTTCTACGGTGGTCAGAGCAGAAAGACCAGTTCGGTCGACGATAAATCTAATCGCGCCAGTCCCGAATGCACCATAAGCACGGAAAACAACGATTCTCCAAGCAAGAGCCTAAGACCCAACAGAGAAGTTTCAGAATCACCCACGAAGACCATAAGAAGTAGACAGGCGAGTCGCATTCCACACTCGCCAGTCAGGAACCGGACTCCGAACCGTGGCAACACACCGAGCCCCAAACAGGCTCCAAACCCAGTACAGACATCGCCCAAGCTAAAGCCCAAACTGCCTCCAACAGCAAGGAATACTTGGAGTGGCAGAACTGCTCCAACACAGACCAAGACTAAGAGCCGACCCACGATTGGAGCAGACACCTTCGATAATCCCAACAAATCGCCGAAAGCAAAGCCTAAAGCGGGCCAAACAGAGGCGTTCAAGCGAAATTCACCTTTAAGAGCCAGCAGTGCAACTCTGCGTTCCCCTTCTCATCAGAGACAATTAAGCCCTTTGCTTGAACAGATCTTAAGGTCCGCAGAAACCGCGAAAGATGACGCGACCGTTTTAGAAAAAATGAAAGAGATAATCAGAACGTATTCAAAGGGTGATTCAGCAGACTCTATATCGAGGACAAGCTCGAAAGACTCCGATTACGCTGACTTTACATCAGCGTGGGTTATGTCTGACGGTAAACTAGAAAGGTCTACAAGTACCAGACAGTTAGCAGCGCCCAGGAAAGATCCTAAGACGGGCGGGTCGAGGATACCAGCTCCTGTTTCCATCGGCTGCAGGCGATCCACGTCTACTTCGCAATTTCAGTGACAACTTTCGCTTGAGAATGCGACTGTTGACTCTAAGACTGAGCAAGTGTGATTGTGATGTGATTATTCGTGAATCGAATTTGATCAATGTTGGTGCAAACGTTTGAATAGGTCGTGGTGAACTTCCAGTTGACTGTGAACACTAATTGTACAACTATTGGGCGCACATTACCAACGGTTTGGTCAAGTGGCCCTTTTATATATTAACATTAATAACAACTATCATATCTTTATAAAAGTATATATCTTATTTAGTGCTAACGTAGCATTATATAAAATAAAAAATACGAAAAAATGTCGAATTCCATTCTAGTGGTATATGTCATAACCATACACTAGTACTAAATTCTATTTAGAGTAGACAATTGTACTAACCCATGCATGACTTAATTAAACATCCAACTCCTGGATGAATAAATAATTATTATTTGATATTGCCCTTTTGGAAATATATTGGAATGAGTTAAGTCCAAATATTGACCTGATTTATCCCGTTATATATGTAGGAATGATGGTGCTAAAGAAAAGTTTATGTTAAGTTGCCTATTTGTATTTTATAAAATTTTTGACCGATTCAGTTTTAATATGAATTTATATTCAATAAATAACCTTTCAGATCAATTGAATAAATAAATTATTATAGTCGAATAGAAATTCAGACGAAATTAATTCAACACTTTTGCTCCTTATAATAATTTAAAAAAAAAAGCAATGTTGAGCTATGTTGAGGTTTTATTACAACGCATTTTCGATGAAAAAAAAATTATTTTATGTATTAATTATTTAAAGCTTTATTTAAGAAATATTTGTATTAAGTTTTGTAGTCAATAGTTATTTTTAAGGCTATGATTGCTATATCCCCGGTGAAATTTAACAATCTCTAAATCATTAACAAAGGAAAGTAGCATTTAATCAAACTGTATAAGTGTCATTCCGCACCTGAGCCGGGAGTTTTGGCAATTTTTTTATATTTTTTTTAAATCAGCAATCTCATTGTTATTTGATAGGTTGTGAAGGGTTTAGAGCTTATAAATGTGAGAATTTTTGGCTTAAGTTAAATATTCCGATACTTACTAACAATTTTTCTTAATATTTAGTACTTTGATACCATTATTTAATATAATAATCAATTATAAATAGATAAATTTCAATGTAACCAAGTGTACCAAGTAGTAATCAGTGCAGTAAACGTGAAAAGTATAGATTAGAATAAAATGCAAATAATTATCGATTTACCTCACTAGTATACCGATAACAGATAAATATTTTTGCACTTTGAATACAAAAGTTACCGTCCAATTTAAAGGTAATCCGAAACGCATCGCTTCCTTTGTTCTTATATATAATTTAACTAGACAGTTAAATTAGCAAACGAAGCGGTTTTACGTCGGTATAGAAATGGAATTATAGTAATCCCAGAGGGTGTAGGCAGAGTCCAAAGAGCAGTGAGCTATGCTTAACATGGGTTTAGACGGAAAATTGTGAAATAAGTGATAGGTGGCAAGCTCATCGCCTGCACAATTAGAAACCCAATATCCTAGGCAAGTAACACACTAGGCACAGTCTTTTTTGCTATAAGTTCCGCTTAAACAACATGAGACCTATAAGTCCCAACTTGGGAAAATGGAATCGGCTTACGATTATTTTCACACGCGCGTCCTAGAGCATCCAATATGCTACGCACTTTATATTGCTATTTCTTTTTATACTACATTTGTTATTTATCAGTGTCTTAAATTATATAATGTAGTATATAAACTCAGGTGACATCATGATACCCGGAGCATGATATAAAATTAATTACTAACATAGTAATGATCAGCCAAATCATTGCATCTTATAATGCTCGGCCCGGTTGATGACGTCACCTATATATCTATTGTTTTACTTTTTTAACATTCTAATGATATATTTATTAAGATTAGGTAATACAATAAATACATAGGCGGCGGCTTGATACCGTTGATATTTTGTGTTTTATCTGAGAATTGTTAGGATTAAAATTCCTCAGATAACACTCAAAGGATCAACTTTTATCTGAAACGCTATTTTACAATCGGCTATTGTTACACTCTTAATTGTTTTTTTTAATATTTCACTTTATAAATATTTTACACATATCGAAATGTAAAACACATCTTACAATTTCAACTCGATCTTAATACATTTTGCTGGAGACTCAAATGCTAATTGTGATAGTAAACATTATTAAAAGTGTAACATTGGTCGGACAACGCTAGAGGCTAAGTGGAACTTAGTTGTGTAACAGTTTTTCTTCGAAATAACGTTACCAGTGACTATGCCATAGAAATTGTTATAATTCACTCAATAAACCAATAAGACAGAAAATCTAATGCTTGTTTCAATAAAACCAATAACAAACCTTTCTTCTAAAATGTTGACGGTGATTATTATGTAGCTGTAGAGGCGGTGTAAGAATATCCGCTACTCCATATCGTCCTTTGTGCGTCGTAGGAGGCGACGGAGGGAAACTGATGCAGAAGATATCTTCTTGCCAATCTGCATGCCAAGCGTGGCAACTATGGCAAAATCCTCCCTATGAGAGAGTCCTATATTCAGCAGTGGACTCCTACAGGGTGAATTGGTAATGGATTATCTGGTTATTTGGTGTCGCTACCCAACGACTTGTAATGAAAACAAGTGCTAAAATTAAAAAAAAATACAACTGACTTTAATATAAATAAAATGAGAACATCAGCAATGTATCCGCAGTCAATTAAATACGCATTATTAAGGGTAACTCAAAAACCACTGGTCAGATGTTGATCAAATTTATATCAAAATCAGTTCACCTAGAAAAAAGTTCTAAGGTAACACACGTAAAAATATATATACAGTCGAATTGAGTACCTCCTCTTTCTTTGAAATCGGTAAAATAAAAGATGCTAGAAAATTTCATATATACATATGTAGAATATAATAATTATTTTCTAAGAAACGAATCGAGGGTCACCTGACGGACTGTCGCAAATTACTAATGCTTATGAATTATATTGGAAGGAAATTTTACCACCCTATAAGGGTCAAACAAGCCTGCTACTACCTTTTATATTTTAAGAGTGACAAAAAAGACCTGATGCATTTATCCTGGATTAAGAATGAAAATTCGTTGTCAAACCTGGGACATAATATGGAATGCCTCGTTTCCAGCAAAATGGATATCCGGTTTTGGTCAATCAACATACAAATCAAACTGCTGTTTAACGTTCTCATTTTATTCGAGCGTAGTTTGTTGGCAGACGAGCTAACTCATTCCTGCTGCAGCCACGCTGCAAGGTGCTTCCACCACATAATAGTAAATGACTACTGCACTGGTTCAAGGACCCAACTCGATGAGAGTCCAAGGGAGTGACCATAGGAGAGTGATCTACACAAAGTGGTAGCTACATTACTCTGCTATGTCCGATGGGTTCGTTGACCAATTTAAGATGGGATTCTCTACATTTGGGAATGGTGCGAAGGTTTAACGCCCCGCCTATTTAAATAACGGCTATGCCACGAAACTGACTAAAGTTAGTGACTACTACAAAAAAAAAAACAGCTGCTTACTGCATTGTGCGTGGTGTATTGTCTGGTGCGTTGTCTTCTTTGAGTGCTATATATACTATATACATGGTTTCAACCCTCAAACCAAACACAATGGAAGTGCTACTGCTTGGTGGAAATAAATGGCGACCCACCACCTGGCCTCCGACAGGTGGCATTTTAATATTCCCTTATGTTAGGATCTACGAAAGACGGGTAATATTTTTAAATTATGATTCAGACTGATTACAGAAAAATAGAGTTTTAATGAAAAATAAAAGCCAAAGCTACTCCAAAGAACTAAAAACAATAAAATTGTTTCCTCATTATAGGTTCAGAAATCGGTGTGTCTTATATATAGTATAAATAAGCGTTAAAAGTTTTTATTTTTTTAATTTTATTTGTTTTAATTTGGTTTTGATATTTTATTAAAAGTTTAATTTTTTTTAATAGGATAAGGTGACAAGCGAGCACACAGTTCATCTGATGGTAAGTGGTTGCTGTGGCCCATAGACATCTACATCTATCCTCAATTACGAATCAAAATGCAGATGTGTTGTCACCCGTGAGGACTTAGGTGGAATGCCTCGTTTCCAGTAAAAATGGGTCTCCGGTTCTCTACACTCACCATACGAAACACAGCAGCTTTAAGCTACTATTTGACGCTGGTATTCTGTGAGAGCGTGGTCCCTCCCCGGTCGAACCGACCCATTCGTGCTACAACTATACTACTAATATAACTGCAGCATGGCTCTACCACGTGAAAATACCATTATGAGTTACGTTAGGAACATCAAAAGATTCTCCGTCGAGAAGTCGGCTATAAAAGCGTTGAAAGTGCGAGCTACCTAAAACTTTTTCATTTATTAATTGCAGCCCAAGCTCATCTACCATGCTCATGCTCATGAACCAAGTTCATGTGGAAGTGAATTGACTGGACTACCTATTAATAAAGGCGAAATTGCTTATGCCATTAACATGTTCAAATTAGGAAAATCTGTAGGCGGAGATGAATTACCCGCGGAACTGTTTAAATCACTTGAGTATGCTAACTTAGGAATAATAGTAAAGTTATTTAACACTATATATGATTCGGGCGTCATATCATCGGATTGACTCAAATACACCTTTGTCACCTTGCCCAAAGTTGCTTCTGCGAAGAAATGCAGCGAATATAGAACAATCTCCTTAATGAGTCATATCCTAAAATTATTCCTTAAAGCAATTCATAAAAGAATTTATAGCAAATGTGAAGACCTCATTTCAAGAACACATTTTGGGTTCATCAATGGCCTGGGAACGAGAGATGCACTATTCTATCGGGTATCTCTATTCGGGTATCAAGTTTTAATACAGAGATGCTGGGACATAAATCAAGATGTGTTTGTATGTTTTATCGATTATCAAAAAGCATTTGATAGAGTACAGCATGCAAGAATGATTGATATATTACAA